GACGCCTGATTTACTCTCTGCGGTGGGTTGTACTCTAGTGGCAGCTTACATTGCCTAGTTTATTATCTGGTCCTAAATCCCAAGAAGACTGGGAGCGTAGAGATGGTTATAGCACCCCATAGAAAACAACACTGTTCCTACTGAAGTTTCAAAAAGCCCCATGCCTTTTATCCCCATTCGAACTCAGAGAATGAAAAGAAACCATGAAGTGCAGGAGACCATAAAAATGCCGTAAAACATATATATATATATATATATATATATATATATATATATATATAACCTGAAAGTCCTCTGTATTACACGAGGTAGTGGTGGTTATTATCACACTTGTTTTTATGTGTGTCTTTTGGTTTCATAAAATAATACGATTTGATCGCTATGTGGTAGAGAATAATTCCATGTATATAATATAACATTAAGTGTGATACAGCACTATTTATTTACTGATGACATTTGGAAAACAACTTACTTCTGTTCATAGTTATACTACAGAGCTCACTAACATAACTTTGGGATTTTATTTAGAATATAGTTTCACGAGTATTACTATTTGATTTAACTGGTAGCAGTATTCTCCATAGCCTCTAGGGCTTGATTTTATGTCATCGCTGTTGCGCGTTTTTGTGTGTGTCTGTGTAGATTCGACTAAAAAGGATTCCGTTATCCACCTCGATGGCAGATAGGGATCAGTTGATTTATCAAAACACAGGAATGTACACCAATGTAGAATGAGAAGACAGCCATCTTAGAAAAAATACTCGGAAATTACGATGCATCCACTAATACACTCAACAGGGTGGGAGGTAAAGGCAGGCTGATTCCTGAACCTTTGTTTATCGAATGAACTTGAGATGCCGCTGTTGTTTTATTTCATAGAATGGTCTCCAATTTAGACAAGGGTGCCAGATATGTTCGGTGTGTCTTCTTAGATTACACATTTGCCTTGTACTCTTTACCAAGGCGTATTTTGTTAAACAAGGCTGTGACATAAGCAAGGTACTGGACGACTAGGTGGTTGCATCATTACTTTTCGAATAGGAAGCAGTACAGTGTTTACAATGAGTAGTCCACGGCATTAATTACTCTAGCCAGTGTTCCCTACCCAAGATGTTATTCCTTCTCCTTTTGTTTTTTTCTTTCTTCTTACATGACTTGCGGCGTTCTGAAGAAGAAAATTTTTTAAAGTATCCTGGTGATCTGACTGTTTCTCCACCGGCGGTTACTTCTATTGCAAAGCGTGAATAGCGTTTTTGTCTGAAATAAGTCAATGATCCTTAATCTATAATAGTCTTAGGCTAACTCCCTCAAAATGTCAGAGAGATTGTTAAGTTTAGTTTCAGACCTAAGTGCGACTTACGTGAACTGGTTTGCTCGTATGATCCCACTATCATAGATGACACTGAAGTTGAAACTAGACCAAATGTTAAATACCTTGAACTATGTATTTCTTCTGATCTTTCCCACATCACACTAGTGCCTAGGAAGATATTTTATCTGATTTTCAAAATGAATGAAATCATGAAAATCTGGTATCCCACCAGCCAGTTTCTACTTTCCAAGTTTGTTAACTCTTGCAGTATTCTACCCACTCTTCTTTATTGCCCCCCCCCGCATCTTAATCTTCCTTGGACTACTTAAGAAAAATTTTGTTACACTGAGAAGAGCATGAAAATCTGTCATCACGGCGAGAATGGGATGTCATCGCTAAACTAACTTATCAATGCTGTCGTAGATAGTGGACACATGCAGGAAATTAACGAATACTATATTGTCCGATGGACTCTGAGTATCCTTTCCTCAAAAAAACTCTCTCCTTGTTGTATCTCATCAGACAGGACTAAAAGCAACCATGGAAGACTTTATGCTCGGATGACTGAGTATTTGACAGGGGAAACATTTTATCTGATGCAAAAAGTGTAAGGCAAGACACTATCAATTTACTGAGAAACTCTAAGTAAACGACCCCTTTTTATTCTTTCTTTCATTGAAATATATATTGTTGCTAATATTTCCACTTACATTTTAATCTTGTATTCATATTCTAATTGAACAATATTACCAATGTAAACGCCTCTGTTTTAATTATTATTCCTGTAACGAGAAAGTTAAATGCAATAGTCTACTACATGGTGAAGATTCCATATTTGTACCAAAACACTGTTTAGAATAAAGCTATTAGTACTATTACCTATTAAATTTCATGCTTTTGTGTTCCAAGTGGACCAGGCGGGAGTTTCAAGCTTGAGCTTTGAAGTTTCAGTAGCAGCTGGCACTACGCCAGACATTCTTCTATTTACACCAAGATTAATAAAGGTTAAGCAAAGTTTAGGAATGCATCATTGGCTGGAAGTCGAAAGTAGCACATGCTAGCTGTTAGCGCCCATCCTACCATTGAACTACCAACGCACTACCACTGTGTGGGGAAGTAAAGTTTTTCAAAGAAATTTTCCACACACACCACTTACTTTTATTTCCTTGATAAATATTGAACAATTTAGAGCCAGGTTCACGTTTAAACTCTTCAAACGCATCATACTTATTCGGTGGACTGAAAAATGGGCGAATTCCAAATAAGAGGAGAGAATTGTAAACTTTTATAAACATGGTTTGATAAATGAAGTAAACTAATATGGCTAATAGAATTATAATAAAGCCAAAAACTCTACTATCTAATCATTATAAGACACTGGGTTATTTTGCACATCTATCATTGAAAATATAAACAGTCTACTTACGAGATCACAATAATTAACTACCTAGATTGTGTAAAAGTCTGCATGAATTTATCCTCGTTATTATTATCCTGAAAAGACTTTGATCGTTTATCATCTGAACTTTAAATCTATGAAGCTACATTGCTTAGAAAAAGTACTTTGTGCTTAGTAATGAAACTGTAAACGCTGCTGAGAAATAAACGAAAGTATACATCTGCCTAATAATTATTTCAAAAAGTTAGATTGCAAGCATTTGATTGGTTACATGCTTGATCACGCATTGATATAAATTAGAGAAGCACTGAAATAAACGGGTGTAATGGACAGTTGTTTCTTCCTAGTCTGGGGCTCTTCATCTGTACGCGTCCAAAGCACCACTGGGAATGGAACCCAGGTGACGGGCGAACTCGTTGACCATTCAGAAAATGAGAAAATGAATACTAACATCCAGCCAATGTCATCGGAGAGTAATTTTCCTCTCAACCGACCTGGTAGACCTCATTGGTCTAAACTTTTCACTAAAATTTCAGGCAACTTTGTCCTGCGGCCAATCAGCAGTGACCATTGCCAGAATTCATCGGCTATCGGATTCCTTCCCAGTGGCTGGATGGTCAAAGAGCTTCTCTTGTATAACCTGGAGGTCACGGGTTCAGTCCCTGGTGTCATCATGGTTTCGTATGGCTGAAGCGTCAAAAAGAAGCAGAGCGAAATAGCGGTTCAGTACCTCACTGCTGGTTTGTAATAGTTTTTCAACTGTTATCAATCCCTGATCATACTTTAGACTAATCAAATCCATACAAGTTAATAACTGAAATTTTCACCTTTATTGACATAAATGAAATAAATCAAGATCTTTATTTGGTGAATGGTGACTAGCAGTGGAATTCAGGATGCGCATTTCCTCCTATTCGGGACTCGTCATCTGGATGTACGTGCATTTCTCAGACAGTGATGATTTTCCAGATGACGAGTCACAAATAGGACGAAATGCGCATCCTGGATTCCACTGCTAGCCACCACCCACCAATTCAATACTCACTAAATGCCCAGACATTGTCGATGCATCTGCACAAGAAGCCGACATGTCAACTTGAGACCGAGCACTTCGGTCCAATCAATCGACGGGAAAATCTCAAATTCAATAAAATTAAATTATGTTCCATCATAATACGATATAGACTTGTATCTAAGCTACTACCATTATTGAACAGTTGGAAAGAAATGAAACTGAGTTAGTTATATACTACTGGTTAATTGACATGAGTAGTTGGATACTACCACTCACAAATCAATTAGCAGTACTTGCTTGCCAGATCGCCTAAGCAATCTAAACACCGGATACTGTTAACCTTCGGTTGCAGTCAAGCTGATCAACGGTGTATCCGGTTCGACTCAACAAAGAGGGGCCATTCAGTTCAAATCACTCGAATTCCAACTATCCATATGGGTGAACTGTCAGTACAATGAATCAAATCCGCAATTCGAAAGTTGATTTAGCCATATGCTATATACACAATTCGAGGTGAAATCTTACCGCAGTCTCTTGATTGCCAGTTACGCCATCAAGGAGATCACATCAGGAATGATATGAAAAAATTTTGGTTTCCAGAGGAAATTTCATCTCGATCTGTGAAAATGACAATCGCAAAGTAATTTGCAAAATGGATATTTAATTAAGTGTGTCACCAATTCACCCAAGTATTCGGTTGGTTTAACTGATTCCTCCCGCTTAGTTGAGTCGAACCGGGCACCCTAATGATGAGCGAAAGGGCCGAATGGTATTTAGATTGCTTCTATTAAGCTGACTAGCTAGTACTACCGGCTGATATGTCAGAGGTGTATCCAGCTTCTTATACCGATCAATCAGCTGCATATAGCGTAATGCAGTTATGCCTAAATGATTTACCCGGATAAATTGGAAACTTCTGTATCCATCGGTTCGTTGATTGTAGTATTAGTAATACTGCCAAGTTTAATATTTGCAACAGATTGTTTCTTTTCCCTGCGTTTAACCTAAAAAATGTAGATAGGTAGAAATGCCCAACAAAGGACTTTTTCTGTCGATAAACTAGCCACAAAACGTGTTACGAACGAAAAAAAGTATGCTCCAAGAAAAGGAACTAGATGGACTGAATATCCACCTGAAGAAACCACCAAAAGACATCCAACGGTAGTAGAACCATTGAATGCGACGAGCAAAGGCTAGTTCAAGGGCGACTTGGGAAAAATGATATGATCACGTTTATCAGTATATATTCTACTAAATGTGCGTGTGAGGTTTACCTGTAAAATGCTCCATCTGTCAATAATGTAAGATTTGATGTAGTCTTATCCCCAATGGAGGATTGGTCGATTGCTGGCAGAAAACCTCTTCCTGAGGCAGGGTCTAATTCACCGACTTGATTAACAACCAAAGATTTCTCTTTAAAATTAACATTCTGTGCAGATTTCCCAGTGATTGCTTCATTATTCAATGTGATATTTGTCTGTCGTTTCGATCCGCTAATATTTGAATTACTACTGGGTAGTTTTGAAGCTGGACCAGTTCCACTGCCGCCGCCACCTCCGGTGCCACCACCACGAGAACGCTGGAAATTGTTGAAACGGCTCCTGTTGTAGGTGACCGACTGCCAGTATAGTCGCTTTGTCTGCTTAGCTGTTCTTTAGCTTCATCCAGTTGAGTCTGAAGTGATCTGATTGAAGGAAACATTTTCAGAAAAAGACGTACATATATATATATATATATATATATATATATATATATATAATGAAGAAATTCAACTGTATGGACGTACTTGACAACTCATATATAGCTCATTGCCTTAAAGCTAATGAGCTCGAGGTTTGAATCCCTCTCCACTTACTTCAGCCCCGACCTAGTGGTAGTATCACAAGTCCTCAAACAATAAGTGTGCCTCATAAGAGTCTCCTTGTATATTTAAAACATTTGTTCCAAATAAAAGATGGTAGCCGTTAGCGGTGGGATCAAGAATGAACGCAAGTATACGTATACAGTGACATTCAGGTGAAGAGTCTTAAATTTGGCGGAATGAGTATCCTGGTATTTATTGCTGGCAACCACTACCATAAACTAAAACAACAAATCTGAATATTTTATGAACACGTAAGTAACTTACTTTCCGATTCCTTTTTATTTCGATGTGTTTTTTAAAAATGAAGGGTGATAGCCTGAATGGGGCAACGTAGTTTGGCAGTATACTATCTAAGCATTCATCTGCCTATGTCACTCACTTCAGTGACTGAGAAACTACAATTGTATATTGCCAACAGACTTTCTTAATAAAGCTGGGTCAGTTTTTTTATTCACCAGCCCGAAGATTTTGTTGGGTGAGAGATTTTTAATTATTTATAAGTCTTACTATCATTTATAAATATTTTCATCAAAAATTTAGGTTAGGAAATGATTCTTAATTACATTCAGTATTCACTTCACCAGAGAGTTGATATTAGTTGGAGGAAAAAAGACTGAAATTTAAGTATTAATAAAAGCAACCGGTTGAACTGTCGATCAGCCAGGGTCATCAGCTTTGGGCCATACATGCTCATTATCCCTAATAGTTATTGTGAGCAGAAATGAATCACAGGCTAGAAAGAATCCATTGGCTGGTGTGTTTTTTTTCCAATGCATCTGTTATTGAAGTTTAATCGTGACGAAATCTACATTGAAATATTTCCATATTTTTTTCAAGCATCCACTTTTACACTTCTTGGTTTATTCACTGGCGACTGGCCCTATTCAGATAGGTAGTTACCTGGGGTTCCAGTGGAAAGTCGTGACCAGTAGGGTGCAGCAGGTCGGGTATGAGGACAAATACTCGCCGAAGATATTAGCTAGCGGTTGCTCTATATCGTGAATTGGCAGAAGTTGGAACTCATTAGCCATTGGATCGGGTCCCAGTGGCTTAATGGACTACGAGCTTGCCTTGTAACCAGAAGGTCCTGGGTTCGAACCCTGGCGGTGGGTGCGTACTGCTGAAGAGTCTCAGGCACTAGGACGAAACAGTTGTTCAGTACTCTCAGGTATTCCAATGGTTCTCTAACCAATGTCAGCTCATGATGAACTACGAGTAAAGTCACGAAATGGAATCAGTTGAGGAACTGTTGAAAATCAGTGAATATTGGACATTTGTATCGTCTTAGTTTAGAATTCATCAACACTTCACTTTCATAACCTTTCCCCGGCGATGAAATCGAGGAAATTTCGCTTATGAGACAAGACATTCTGCTGTAAGAACAGAACTAGAATGGCGATATATACGTGCATATGTTTTAGACACTAACTAGTGTAATGAGTGTAGTGCTTTGTTTGGTGCAGATTGCAGATTGAATTCTATCGTCAGTCAATTTTGCAGTGTGTGGCCAGCATTCTAGGCGGCTCACCATCACAATGCACTCTAAATTGTTGATATTAGATGGTTGGAGGCAGGCAGTAAGAAGCGTTGCATCTGGGTTTCATGCTAGTTGTCACTCGTTAGCAAAGAGTATCTGAAAGCTTGGAGGAGCTGATACCTTTTCTGAGATTCTTAACTGTGTCATCCAGTGCTGCAGCCACATACGTTACCACTAGATAATCGGCCCTGGTGAGTGACCTCCTTTAGGAATGTATTAGATACGGCGATTGGACACTAGTTAGTATCGTGCCTCTAGTTTTTTGTTTTTGCTGCAGATCAGACTCATGATATATATATATATATATATATATAACTTTTGAAAATAATATTTTCGTAACCGCTGCTTAAATCAATCTATCTTTTTGTTGATGGGATTTGAGAAATCGACATAAAAATTACAAAACAGGAGAAATAGAAACTGTCACTTCTGGTTGACGTGGGTGGCATCCAAATACTACTAATATCAATCACTGTAGCGCCGTGACGAAGAAAGAAGAATAAGCAAAAGGTGACCTTGTTGGTATGTATTCCTCTTTTTAAACTGCCGCACTTTGAGTAGTAATGGCGCTGCTACTTTTTTGGACTTTTACACTCTTGTGCTGACATATATTCAGACAGAAAGTCGTTTTACACACCCTTTTCCCTTGATTAGTTTGAAGTACAGAACTATAAGAGTAAGCAGATATGTATGATAAAAAAAAGTCTGATATTTATTTATTGTTTAGAAATTTCGATTTCACGGCTTTACATCTGCTGTTTAGCAAAGCCTGAAAAATGACATAAATTATTGTAAACGCAGAAATGCATATAACATACCTCAAAAAAAAATACTTCAACTCGAACAGGACACAATTTCCGAGCAAGAGAGAATAACTGAAGACTGAAGAGGCACTAGACAACCGTTTTGTCCCACTTTGACACTCTTCAGCAATCCGCCCACCACCACCACCACCAGGGATTGAACGTAGTTTCACGGTTATGCATAATAATTTTTTTCCTTATTCATAGTTCAATTATTTGTTCTTTATCAAGTCGACTGGTAACACGTCATGAACATTTGATGAGTGTAATAGAATTATCATACTGTTATACTTCCCATACGTTCCGAGTGGAACACAGAAGTCCAGCTGGAGATGACATGTAGGGCGAAGGAAATAAAAGGTTGTGATGGCAGTCATGAGACCGGCTGAATAAGTGATTTCAATGAGGGCAGGGCGGTGGGTGGGATGGATGATAAGTTTCGACTAAATCTCTGTGTTCTACTCTGAACTCAAGGAATAATAATTGTTTACACCAGAAAACACTTGTAGTCAGTCATTAGAAAAGAACAAGATGACTTTAACTTACTTATTTATTTGTTTAAATACTTCAAATGTTTCTCTCAATTGATAAAGATTTACGATCTAGGTTTTTAAAAAAACACAAAAAGATATGCTAAAACGTAAATTTTGCACATAATTTTTATTAGATAAAGTGTTCAACACAAATGCCTTTAAAGTTGTTGATTGGAAGAAAGGCTCATCATGAAAGGCATTCAGCTTTTATCTCCAGTGTTATCAACTTAAATTATTTGAATTTTTCAAGAATGAAAGAGACAAAAACAAAAAGTTCGTCTAGCCTTAACTTTCAAAATGAGTGGAGAATTTCATCGAGGCACTCTACACCCATATTTTTAGGGTTGCAAAGTTTACTTGCAAACAAGGGAGGGGAACAGAGTCTTTACACTGTGTATTGTTTTCATAATTTCATTTGGGCGATATCTAAAAACAGTAACCAGATAATTACTGTCTCAACTGACCGTAGGGATAATATTGTGGTGAGAGCAGGCTGCTAGCCGATTGGTTGACACTAAGCTACGTTAATATGGGCCGTGAGAAAATATGAACAAGGCTGAGTCAACAACCAATCACAGCAAAGTTAACGTGGCAAAATATGATTCGCAGATAGAGAACTCTATTTGTCAAGGAATCCCGAAACAACCAATCAGAAGCCTGCGTTTGTCTGCCTAACTTCTGATAAACAACCAATCAGATGACTGCGCTTGTCTATTATAATGTATGTGAAATATGTATAAATACGTGTTGATTTTCATAATAAAACGATCTGTTGCCTGGCCCTTGTCTTCTGTTGTTACAATATGAGTGACATTTAAATTATGTGAGCATGAGGTTACCGAAACAGTCGCTGTAAGTCGCTACCTGTTTCATTTCACAGCAATGGATAACAGATGAGTTTCGAGTGGCATACAGGACTGTAAATAATTGGGTTCTTAGTCTTAAACCCAACTGAGTCAGGTGAGATTTAAGAGTACGTTGGCCAGGAATCGAACCTGGACCTCGCTAACGGCTGGTGAATAGTCTACCATTGAACTCTAGACGAACTGTTTAGCTCTTAATCGTGACTTCTCGGCGGTAAGCACCCATGAAACCCAACGGGAATCAAACCCTGAACACTCTGTTGGTCATTCAGCCAGTAAGATTGAATGTGGCTATTACATTAAAGGTAGATATTTTTACTTAATGGGGTTTGAGATATCTTGAAAACAATGATATACTGAAATAGCTGCTTCATTTTAGATTTCTATACCCTCCTCCGGTAGGATGTAGGCAATATTCTACTGATGATTCGAATCAAGACTATCGGTTTAGGTGGCAGGCTGATTATTATTTCTCAAATGGGTTGAAATTGAACGATTCATGCACTCTGATTTTAGTCATTACATGAGAACAGAAGAAAATCCATACTCAAAAGTCACTAGTTACTTGTCAGTATAGTTTCTGGATTGATTTAAAAAATACAAGGTCATTTTACATCATAGATGTCTTAATGCCACTAAAGATGTGGATGAGTCCTTCAGTGTGGATCATCTTAATTTGTCATCTCAATTCGAGAAACTGTTAAGGAGAAAAGAACTACTATTAATAACATCATTCACTCCTTGTATTCGGTGTGAAATGTCGGATTTCAGAGGAACCGCTTCATTCGTCTCCCTTTCTTGGTATCACTGTTTCAGCTCCATAAACGACTGCCCACAAGCTTCAAATTCCTCTTCCTCACATGATATTCTTATCACCCACTCAAACCTAACCTGCTTCACAGGAGGAATTGTCATGGAGTGTTATATCATCACAATGTCTCCTCAGGGTAAATCCAATCCATCCATCTATATTTCGTTCTGGATATTTCTTGGTTGGACATCAGGTTTGTGGATGATTTGTCTTCAGAATCACGTGTTGCCTATCCCTCCCGATTAACCTTCTTATATTCAATATTGAGGCAGGAAGGGGGATGATAAAAGCTTTGATAAAGGTCTTTAGCAGAATGTTGGAAATAATTCCGGTGACTTCCGCGCCAGCTTCGTCAATCACATAGAGCCAACTCAGACAGTTAGTCAATGAATTCATGGAGTACTGCTATGTTTCAGTCTGATCACACGTAAGTGGCAGAGTGGTTGGGACGTTCACCTACCATGCAAATGGTCTGGGGTTCGATCCCCAGCTGAAGCACACTTGAAACCAATGGTCGGCCTGCTAAATTTGGGCTAACGATATCACATGCTGAAAATTCCATACTCGTATCAAAAATACTGTATATATATATATATATATATATATATATATTCCAACTTAATCTGATTTCAAAGCTAACATTGCTTATTGAGAGGGAGATAGTAAGTGAGTACTTTTTAAACATACTCTAGCTTAAGTCAGAAACACTTTCCAAGTGTTGGACATAAAGGAATTGATTTTCGTGCATTCAGTAACTCCATTGTCTATCCTTAAAATAAGAAAGTCAGTATTGTCTAGTTCTCTAACATCATGTGACATTTTATTCAGGAGAGGAATGACTTACTAAATACCAACATTATCAACATCGTTGTTTATACAAATAAATGTTAAAGAGAGACTTGGTGCATCATCAAAAGCACTTCCAACAGGCTTCTGCAGACTTTCAATGAGGCCTGGTTACTGAAGATCAGATGATCGGCTAGGCAGAAATGATAGGCATCTTGATGTGGTTGTGTTCTCTGAGCTGGATAGTTTATTTGAGAAGCTTTCATCGCCCTACTAGGCAACATCTTCAAAGCATACTTCAGTTTGAAGTGAACCTTTAGATTTCTCCACGAGTTTATTAGTCATCTTTCCTGGTGACATTGGATGTGATTGGTTGTTTTTGTGGGTTTTCACACCCTCTAGGCCACTTGTATTGGTATTGATTGTTTCCTTGACCTGAGGTTTTACCCTTTGTGTGTGTGAGATTTCCTTCTTATCGATTGGCGAATTTTGCTTATGTCAGTGTGCCTGTTAATTGCTGATTCACTAGAATACCAGGCTTCAAAAATTCCTCTGGTGTTTCATCTGTCTAATATTTGAACATTGTCCCAGTCGAATTAATGTCCGTCGTTGTTTGTATGTAGTGATATGAGGGAGTGAATGTCATGTCTTTTGTCGGCTAGCTTATACTCATGGATACAAAGACGAAGGGGATGTCCACTTTGGCCAATGTAGTGTTTTTCGCAGTTGTTACAATTTATTTTGTAGATAATGTTGGTTTTATCTTCTTTAGTTGTTGAGTCTTTTGGTTGACATCGAGGTGAGTGAAGTGATTTTGTTGGTTTGTGTGCGACGTCAATTCCTAAGGATTGAAGAGTCTTGCAGTGATTTCTCAGATGTCCTTTATGCTTGGTAGGGATATTTTCTTTGTGCTTCCTTGGAAGCCTTTGATTTGATAGGTTGGTTTGGGGGTATATGTCTTTTGATGAAATTCCCTGGATATCTATCCTTTTGGAAGACGTTCATGAGATATCTTTCTTCAATTTTCCTCAGGATGAGAGTGCTGCAATGAGTCCTTGCCCCTTTTGAATAGTGTTTGTATACAACTCCTTTTCTATGTTATTGGATTGTTGCTGGTGTAATTCAGCATTTGGTCTGTGTGAGTCGATTTTCTACACACTTAAGTTTCTAACTCCCCTGTGGTTGTTCGCTTGTCTAAGACGTCGAAAAATGGGATTTTGTCCTCAGATTGTTCTTATCTTGTGAATTTGATGTCGTTGAAGACGTTATTGATTAAGTTGTGCGTTTTATTCAACTCGTTTCTTTGATATGATACGCATCAAAAAAGCTCATTCTGGTGCGAAGTAGTCAGTAAATATTCATTCAGAAGCGAATAGATATAAACACGATATATACGGAAGAGACACATTTAATTGATATCATACATCAGGTAGCCCCTCGAAGGAAAGCCAAATGGAAGTTACAAAATGGGTGTTAGTCCAACAGTGATCCGCAGAAAATCATGTTGTCAGGTAGAAATAAAAATTTGCAGACTGACTTGTAGTTGATTGAGATTTATATTAGAAAGTCAAGTAGAAAATGCAGCTATACTATGTGAAGCCTCATGTTGCACTCAGAATACAATGAATAAATGATAAGCGAGCTCATCTTAATCTGACAAGCAGATATCTTACCTCTAAATCTTTGACTTCATTGTTTAAATATTTGACAACAGAATTGCGTAATTTGTGTTTTTGTTTTTCTGTCAATGGTTCATAATTTATTTGTCCACGATTATTCTAAATTGGAAAGGAATATTATTAAAATCACGAAAGTTTGTTAAAAGAAGATGTACAACTTTACATGTCTGTGAACAATGTACTATTATCGTCCTAGTTATATTAATCGGGGGGTTGTTTAGAAGAAAACAAAACCAAACGCCTATTGTAAATCGTTGTCTAATGGATAAGACTTTGACGCTTGATGCGATAGATACTGATTTCAAGTTTCATATGGACGCACTATCGCTCACTCACTCACTCACTCACTCACTCACTCACTGCATAGGAGGGATACAGGTGCATGCAGCTGACTAATCTAAAATAGGACGAAATGTGAATCATGAATCACACTGCTACTAGCCATCATAAACGGAGTAACATGACCGTAACATTCATGCAAAATATAATGGCAGACACACTACAAAGTTTTTTTTGACACTCATGCATTTTTCAACAACGTTTTGCACAATTGAAAAACTCATTTCTCATCATACTGGCATTACTTGGACATGCATATGTGCGCTGATAAGAAAATTGGGCATGAAGGATATTTAAACTTACACTATTCGTTTTCGAAATAAACAGTAAGGATAAACGTCTTCAAAAGAATGAAAAATGAAAGGATGACTATGTGAATGAGATGTGAAAACAAAGATGTTAAAGAACAGCTTTAGACAATTGTTTCATCCTACCATCGGAATAATTAAAAATCCTTATGGTCTGCAATAACCCCCATGTATGGCCTTTTATGTCTGCCCCTGCTAATTACTATTGCGGTAATGCAATCGACTGGTACGCTAATATGCCGCCTATTTGTCCATTGTATCATCCTATTCACTGAGCCACACAAACATCAAAAGATAAAGGCTGGCCTTCAACTGTAAGACACTGTATTGTTTAGGTAACAACACATGATATGTATACATTTTCTTTACCATAATAAAGTCGGCTCACAACTGTGACAATGGATTGAACTTTTTGGCTAGATAAATCTATCCTGATTAGTTGGAGATGCAACAGTGACTAATATGAGACAAAGAATGATGAATTGGTGACACACTAAATCACAGCATGAGTTGGAAATGATAGATGAACATAGTAACTACATCACAAGATAAATCATACGATTCGTGAGAAAGGATGATGTACTATTTTATGCTGGCTCCTAACAATTCAGTCAACTAAAGCAGTGCATCAGAGAATAACGATTACTTCTGGTTAAATGCATGAGATTTAATGACAACTTAAATAAAGCTGTAATAAAGTTCATTTATATAGCACATATTATCGACATTAAACAGGCCCCTGTATATTTTGGTTTGTTTGATGCGAATCTTTCTGCATATAATACAGTTGCTATTCTCCATTTGTCCAGAATAAGAAGACTGACTTGTAGTTAGTGTGAAACTTTTAAATTACACTGAAAAAGGCTGACGCCACAGCGAAAACAGCAACAATGAATTCTCTGCTGTACACACATTACTTGTGCATTCTAGTCACCACAAATATCACATCACAACCAATCACATATCGTCGACAATCATGAACAGCACAGTCCAACCCTCAACATGCACTCAGCCGCTGTCTATTTGTCCCCCTAATGTCTCTATAGGATCCACCGAGTGATAGTTTCTTCCACAAAATAGTGATTAGGCTATGTAGAGCAACAACTTCAAAAACACGTCACATGGATTGTGTGTTGTTGGCCTGAAACAATTTCTCCCTGAGCTCGTGCATTTGCTAAATTGGTTATTTCAAGAAGAAATCAGTTAGTATCTTTCGGCAGTGTTGTGGAGCACCTACTTCTGTTACTATTTATTATTAATACTATCTTTAAAGCTACTACTGCTATTACCACCAAATGGTTGGTGGTCTAGTCAAATCGTTGTGATGCTTAATTTTCCATGGAGCGTATTTCCTGAAGTTTACTTGTTTTCACTTTGATATAACCATTTACTCATTTCCCTGAAGAACAACTTGCATTCCCATGATTTCAGTATACAAATTAGGTAAGTTTTGAAATGACAGAACTGTCATGGGTTGAAGCATGTATCACATCGAACAATATTCTGTAGAACAGTATAACGTCGAATACTACTTCACTTGAAGTTTCTATACGATGAGTGAATAAAACACTCTGACATGTATATAAACATACTGTCCAAAATAAATCAATTATTATTATTATTATTTTCTTACTACTTCTATGGTTTTAGACTACTACTACACACATCAACCAATCAATAGCACACTTCACCATTCATTTGAGAGAAAATGTCAATGTAACCAACACCAAGGAACACTAGAGAATGTTTCGTCCTGGTTTAGGACTCTTCAATGGTGTATACCCACGAATCCACCGATAATCGAACTACAAACCTTCAGATTACGAGATCAGCTTGTCAACTATTAAGTCACTTGGACTGGAATTCAATAGGCGGCTATGAATTTGATCTTCTGTCGCCAACCAATGAGACAGATGAGCATTTACTTCCCATTGACACAGTTTTCAACGAAAGTTCAGATGATATTGGTTCGTGACGTCATCTACACTGAATCTATTATTATTATTATTGTTATTATAAATACCACCATTAGTACTATACAGACAAATAAACTTACTAATGTATCATACATAAGTAACTCTCGAAGTAAACCGTTATTCGAATTTTCCAAATTCTTTATGATTGCCTGCCAAAAATTAAAAATGAAACAGGAGACAATTACACAGTGTATTAATTAAGTTGTCCAGCTTTAGAGTAAGAGGAGTACTGCATTTCATTTTTAACATGGATGCAGACACTGACTCTGTAAGCTAAAACGTAGAAATTTGCAAAATGGGCACCAAATCTTGGGTTTGATCTGTAGTTGTGTAATAATTCCGCGCCGAGAACGAAACGGATATCCCCAGCACTCTGCTTTTCAGCTTCTCTTCTGCTGAAATCGGTTCACGACGAACAGTAATTTGAAATCAGATAAATCTGCAAGTAGACTGGCACTTGATCATCATGTTTCTTAATTAATTGGTCATAATAATCTTTTAAGTCGACAGTATCAGTCACATAATTTAGGAAATTTTATAATTTTCCTGCGCTTTCAAGTTTTGGTTTCGATTGGATTGATTTTCTGTGTTTGGGTGGCTAGCCACATATCCAACCTTTGTTTCTTACTCTTACTTCCGACTGGCTAGTAAAGTAGCCGAGGTTGAAAGTTACAGACTTCCATAAACATCTGCCTTCACCACATACGCTGATGGCCGGAAAGGATTGTCAACAAACTAATCGGTAATCTAGCACCCAAAAAATATGCAGAAATTAATGAAAATAGATCAAGGAGACACCGCGGAGAATCGAATGACATCACACACCTGACCAATTCTCAAGTGGAACGCGACTGGCAAACGAAGATTCGAGCACAAGTGTCAGACGGAAATGGGAGAGGGTAATCGTGGAACCAGCTGAAAAGGACTGTAGAGGGAAGGGTAAAGTGCGGATGTGCTATTGAGGCCCTTTATCCCCCCCCAGGCCCAAGGGAATAACAAAAGTATAGGAATTATTTTACGCTTTCAGTTAACTAATAATGTTATAAGCTGTCGATACGCGCAGATGCTAGACTATCAGACTATCAAGAGCGAAATACACCTTATTGAAATCAAAAGCAGCCCATAAGATTATCTATAAAAACCATTGGAGGAGGCCTCTGAAATTCTGTGAGGCGATAGCCTTCTGTAAAACTAGGCATCACATAAGCAAAATTGGTGTGCGTCTGTTTGTACAAAAAAAAAGCAATTTATCATCACTCTCAACCTACTTTAGTGATCTTCGTCTGATCATATTACCAAAATTAAGTATCAATTATTCTTAAATCCTTTATCACTTTGTTTACTTTGATTAACCTTTCATTTTTCGTATAAACTGATTCCACAAGTAAATGTGTGATCAGATTGCTAGAAATGCACTGAGCTAAGGATACACCACACTACTTTCGTCAAATACGAACTCAGTCTTCTAACATGACTCTATTGTAATTTATTAGGGTTATAAATTATTTCAAATTAATTTGTTACAAACCGCCTTTAATGGTAATAGTTTGATAACATAGATAGTGAACTGATAAAGAAAGGTATTGACATTGGAGTTCCTGTGTCTTCTCTGAAGAAACTTCTTCTATGGTGTACACAATGAACGTAAACTTCCTGTTCAATAAAGAAATGTATAGGTGGTAATCAGATGGTGTTGCCATGGTATCATCACAAGGTCCAATCCTAGAGGATTTTTTCTTGGCAAAACTACACAATGATTCTCTCTTAAAGATATAATACATAATCTTGATTTTTAATTGCCGATATGTCTTTGATCCATTTATAGTTGTGAAGAAAGGAAGTGAGACTAAGCACATATTGGACAAATTCAATAAAGCTCTTACTGGCATAAACTTCACTAAAGAATAGGAAAAAGAAACTGTATCTTTTTTTGGACGTCCTAATGACTAAACGAACAGACGGAACAATGTGCAGGCGTTTGCATAGAAAACCTACTTCCACTGGAAAATATACTAACTTCCTGAGCTCCACTCCTCTATAATACAAACGTAATTTGGTTAGATGTCGGTTTTATCGGGCTGGAGTTATTCGTTCAAATTAGCGTATAACTCAGTAATATTCGTGATCTTCTAATTAGAAACGGATATCAGACTGAATTCGTGAACAAACACATGAACTCAGAAAGCAAAAAGTCAAAGGTACCCACTGTTCCCAAAAAATTAATCTTCCTAAAATCACAGTTCCCGAGTGATGTCAATAGTGAGATCTTATCACAACACTTGAAAAAGCCCTTCAAAAACAACTTTCAAAGCAGCTAATTTATGCTGTATATTCCCTTAGTTCAAAAAATAAAGACAAACTGCCCTGTTTCTCCTATTCCATATGTATTTACCATTTTAACTGCTCGTGAGTAGCTAGTTACATTGAATGTACGATCAGGCAAGTTCACCGTCGAACTTCTTGTTGGTTTGGCAAAGATCCGAATAAAGACATACGCAGCTCACTACTAGCTCACCTCGTTGATACTGAACATTGAGCTGACGCTAACAAAGCTCTTAAAGTTACTTATCTTATTTTGCCGACCTTTTACATACTCTAGGGGTATGAATTTTACACACAACAGAAGCAATCGAAATTTGTCAGAACAAGCTAAATCTGTGTGTTGAAAATAAATTTTTGCAGCCCCTTCCTTTAAGATGGCGGATTATATAATATGTATTAAGTTCTTAAAAACGATTTTCTCACACCCCTTTACTTTGTTATTTTATTTTGTTTATGGTTCTAGGCAATTCAATTAACTTGTTTGTATTTTATGCAATTCTACTTAGTCACACTGTTCTATTATTCTTCTTCACCATCGTCACTATTTTAAAAATTTCTCGGTTATGTAATACTTTTTTGTGTTAATCCCTATGAATTATCTTAGCTTGAGTTCCATAATTAATTATTTTCACCCCTCCTTCAAAATCAGACTTTTTGTGACTAACATTTATCAGTTAATGAATTGTTTTGATGAACTGATAAATGTTAGTCACAAAAAGTCTGAGTTTTGAAGGAGGGGTGAAAATAATTAATTATGGAACTCAAGCTAAGATAATTCATAGGGATTAACACAAAAAATTATTACATAACCGAGAAATTTTTAAAATAGTGACGATGGTGAAGAAGAATAATAGAACAGTGTGACTAAGTAGAATTGCATAAAATACAAACAAGTTAATTGAATTGCCTAGAACCATAAACAAAATAAAATAACAAAGTAAAGGGGTGTGAGAAAATCGTTTTTAAGAACTTAATACATATTATATAATCCGACCCTGTGTGTGGGTCGGTGGCACAGCCGTTAGGATGCTCGCCGACCATGTACATGGTCCGTGGTTCGATCCCCAGCCACAGACGCACTCCTTTACCTCGCTATGTCAGAAATAATGCTGGTAGAGAGGAAAGGTTGGGCATGAGGCCAGCGACCCCAACCTGTAAAAACAAAAACTGCTGCAGAAACTTCAAGCCGCTAGCTTGAAGCCCTATTTTCCACTGGGGAACATGAAGGAAAAATTATTTATTATTATTTAAGATTTATCAGTTGATAAATTGTTTTGATGATATTTAACATCTTAATTTCCCACCCTTCTCTACCTAAAACTGATTGACTAATATAACCACTTGATTGGTAAAAATTTTAATATAAAAAACTATGTATGATTGTATAGCTGATGTTGATGAACTAACTGCAAAGGAATATATTTTTTTGCTCAATCCAAATTAATTCATTCGTAAATAATTTACTACTTTTTCTGTTCAAAGTAGTATATACGTGTACAGAAAATTAGAAAAAGTGAATAAGTAGGAAGACTTTTAAAGGACATTATTAACAAGTTGTGCGGTCTTATATATGGTTTATTTTGAAGTGATAATGTGAATTTAGACGAAATATGTAAGATTGTTATCATGCTTAAACGTAAGGCGATAAAGTTGAGTTGAGAATCAATAAGCTTAGTAAAAGCAAACATTACGTAACACGTTGTTAGAATTCTGATAAAATTATGTCGAATCAAATAAAGAAAAGATGTCAAGTTTACATAACATCAAAAATTGTTCAAAGTGAAAATAACTGAAAACACCTGTAGCAAAATTTATAACAGCATATTTAAGCAATCAGTATTGTCATTAGGCTTAACTCTAATATGCCTACATAACTTTACAAATAAATATTGAAATATAAACCAATCATGGTGATTTGTCAATAGGATGATAAGACTGCGCATATAAATAGTGCAATTGGCCATAACAATAACTTGATGACGCCACTGCTGGAGAAGGTGTGGAAGGAGGGCAAAGTACCCGAGGATTAGAAGAAAGGATACTTATTCAAACTACCAAAAAAAGGAGACTTAAGTCAATGTAAAAACTGGCGTGGAATTATGCTTCTGTCCATTCCAAGCAAAATGCTCAGCCGCATTATCCTGGAGAGAATCTAACACGCCAACCTGGATGCAAAACTTCGTCCGGAACAAGCCGGATTCAGGAGAAACAAGTCATGTATTGATCAAATGGCCACACTACGGATCATCATTGAACAAAGCTTGGAATGGCAGTCACCTCTCCACCTCAATCAACTTCATCGACTTTAAAAAGGCCTTCGACAGCGTCGATCGAGAAGTGATTTGGCAACTACTTCGCTACTACGGGGTCCCATTGACAACTATACATCTCATCCAACAGTCATACGACAGTGCTGCGTGCCAAGTAATCCACAACGGAAAACTTACGCAAGCCTTCGAAGTGAGGACGGGAGTAAGGCAAGGCTGTCTACTATCACCAATGATCTTCCTGATTGCAATAGATTGAATAATGCGACAGACAACGGCAACCAACGAGGGAACAGGCATAAAATGGACTCACACAAAAAACTTGGAGGATCTGGACTTCGCCGATGATATATGTCTGATTTCCAAAAAAACTGGAAGATATGCAAGTGAAAAGCAACAACTTGGCAGAAGAAGCATCCAGAGAAGATAGGACTTCAAGTGAACATAGAGAAAACAGAGGTGATGAAGATTCCTGGCCAACACCAACAGTAACAACAACAACAACAGACAACAATCAGCCAGCATAAATGGGAGGAACCTGAAAGAAACAACCTTCTATACCTACCTGGGAAGTATTGTTTCAACTACAGGCGGAACTGACGAGGATATCAAAGCCAGAATCGGAAAAGCAAGGCAAACTTTCATTACTCTCAAATCTGTGTGGAGGTCAACATCACTCAGCATCAAAAATAAGATCCGGATTTTCAACTCCAATGTGAAGTCAGTCAGTGCTACTATACGGATCAGAGACTTGGCCAGCGCGTCATAAAGAGCATCTCAAACAAACTTCAGACCTTCATTAACAGCTGTCTTCTTTCAATACCATTCAAGATCAGATGGCCAGAAAAAATCAGCAACAAGGTGGGATCTCTGGGAGTGAACCAATCAGGAACCGATTGTGAAACAACAAATAGGCAGGAAGAAATGGAGATGGATTGGCCATACGCTGAGGAAACCATCAAGTGACATCACTAGACAAGCCATGACTCGAGTGGAACCCGAAAGGGAAGCGGCGAGTTGGTCGTCAGTGCAAGTGTGACTTGGAGGAGGTCATGTGAAGAGGAGATGAAAGCGTGTGGACAGACCTGGAGTGGGGTGAAAAAGTTGTCAGAAAACCGAAGGCAATGGAGGTGCGCAGCTGAAGCCTATGTTCCTCTAGGAACTAAAGATACAATATAATAATAATAATAATTTTATTGTTCGCAACTTTCTGCTTGCATCTTTTTGAGTGAAACCATATTTAGTATGAGTGTTCTGTGAAGGGTGACAAGTATCAGGTAAGGACCTATTAAAACCTACTTTATAATCTGTGAATGAACAACAGCTTATTGCTAACATTATTTTTACTACATTTATTACTTTTCTACTAACTTCAGTTTCTGCAATTTTATTACTTTTTTTAGTATTTTATGTATTTATTTATTTGTAAAGGGAGATGAATTGTTGCGATATGAATAAGACGCTGAAGATTCCATTCTATATTACTGTTTATAATAAAGTACTTATTACTATCAACAACTGCAGACAAGAACGTTACTCAACAATCACTTGCACAATCCAATGCAATCGCCAATGAACCATTCCTATCAAAATGGGGGTTAGTGATCTCACCTAACAGCTGTCGAAACCTCGGTAGGTGGAGCAGGACCCGTGACCCATTGATTGGAAGTAGAGCGCCAAAACCAATGAGCTACACACAAGTGAAGATGCATCAGAGAAGAAAACTTTCTCTTTTTCGATGAATCATTTTCAAAAGCTACTGCACCATTGTATTTATATTCGACAAATGAATTTACACGACCACTAAAATACTAGTCACCACTCTAGAAAACGCAGTGTGCAATGTAAGTTGTAGTCTAGAAGGGATTGTACAATTGGAGATTAAGAGGAAGAGAAATTGGAATTACATGATAAGTGTGACGAAGTCAAACTAAATGTACAAAATGGAGAAAGACTAGTGCGAATTCGATAGTTCTTATATAAAATCTGTATGAGGAAATTTTTCATTAACAAATAGCAATATTAAAGATTGTTATATGATAATAAGAATGAGCTAAAATATCAAACCGCAAATTGGAATGAAATCACAGTAAAAGTATTACTCCAGTTATAGTAATGCTGGTGGGTATGAGCAATGCTTTTGAAGGTAGAGTTCTGGTTTTAAGTCCCCAGTAGTCATTTGTTCGTTTAAGTAGAAGTGGCGTACTCGAAGTCCACGCATGAGATATTGGTGGATTCTGTGTATCATTATGAAGCAGACATACAGGACTCCTCGATGTCCCCAGGGTTGACAAAGTGCTCGACAACAGATCTGTTCGCATTCTTCCATTCTCCTCTGAGTAACCAAGTTTGACCTTGTTCCAAAATACATTTTGCAGCACTGACTCTGTTTACGGTCAATGTAATTGACTCCACAGGACATTACTCATACGAATAACATGTAAAAATGTTGATCGTATTTCCACTAACTCTTCTTGACTTTGTATATTCACGCTGATCGAGTAATTTTTCTGCACTTATTACGCGATTCCAACTTCTCTTCCTCTAAATCTCCAGTTGTACAATCCCTTCTAGACTACAAATCATACTGCATAATACATTTTCAGGAATAGTGACTAGTATTTCAGTGATCATGTAAATTTATCTCTCGGATATTGAAAATGATTCACCGAAGACAGGGAAATTTTCTTCATGTCTACCTTCTATTAGTTTATGAATCACACTATGGGAATTTTCGTTTTATGAATGAATATTCAAGTCACTGGTTGATTGTAATTTTAGAATAATTTCAGTATGGATTTCGTCTCAAATCGAAGTTAGAGATTCAATACAAAACCAAGGAGGGCACTGGATATCTGTTTCATCCTAGTTTGAAAGTCTTCATTAGTTCACACTAGCAACTATACCAATGATCGAAAGCAGGACCTTCAAGATTAGGACTTGAATTTGTTGACTGTAAAATCTGAAAGTTGGAATCTAGTGAGCCATGTGTCCTCCTAACCTGTTTAAATTCGTAAAACAGCACTACTGCCGGCCAGTGTCATTCACTAGCATCCATTTTCGATCAGAACTCAATGATTACGAACTGTCAATAGAAATTCTGAGGACACTATTGAGCAAATAATTGACATTCATCCAACTACACGTGAGATTATGCTTCAAGGCTGGTCTTAACTAACACTCTATGCTTAAAGATAGAGAGTGATGTGGTTGGGGGATAAGCCTAAGGTAAAAAGAGGTCATTAGACATGTGGCTAGTAAACCCAATGTATGAATATAATACAATACCACCACTAGTGAAACTTCAAAAAGCTCTTGAAGCCTCCTAAGAAAAGAAATGAAGACAAATAAAAAAAATATTTAAGAAAAATCTAACCTGAACTCCTTTTAGCCTTTCTGAACCAGCTAAATCCACATAATGAATTTTGCTATATCTTGTGTATCTATCACTGCTATCCATGGGATCGACTATTTCTAGGTAGACTGTTAGTATAACGTGTGAACGGGACGATGAACGATTCAGTGTATGCGATGCAGTTGTCCGATTCAACTCACCCTAAATGAAAAATAAAACGAAAAGGAAATCTAAGTCAGTGAAATAAAAATAAAGCAACCAAGCAACTACGAAGTAACATAGGTGGGGTAACAGACACTTTTTGAAGATAGTGGCTAGTAGTGATAGTATATATATATATATATAATATATATATATATGGACACTGGTTGAATGATCATTTGGGTTACCTGATAACCTAAAGGCGAGGTATTTCGTCCCCCTCCTCGACCCAGACTAGGACAAAAGACCTGTCCAGTACGCCCTGGTAGTTTTCAATAATTGGTTCTCAAATTGATGTCAGTCAGTAAAGGAAGAAAGATCAGATTTGCAGTAAAACATGATATCATGATATCATTCAGTACCTAGAATAACAATAGTTATAAATTATTATTATATCCTTTAATTCCTAGAGGAACATAAGGCTTCAGCCGCGCATCTCCATTGCAATCGATTTTCTGCCAACGTTTTCACCCCACTCCAGGTCTGTCCACACGCTTTCATCTCCTCTTCACATGACCTCCTCCAAGTCACACTTGCACTGACGACCAACTCGCCGCTTCCCTTTCGGGTTCCACTAGAGTAATGGCTTGTCTAGTGATGTCACTTGATGGTTTCCTCAGCGTATGGCCAATCCATCTCCATTTCTTCCTGCCTATTTGTTGTTTCACAATCGGTTCCTGATTGGTTCACTCCCAGAGATCCCACCTTGCTGCTGATTTTTTCTGGCCATCTGATCTTGAATGGTATTGAAAGAAGACAGCTGTTAATGAAGGTCTGAAGTTTGTTTGAGATGCTCTTTATGACGCGCTGGCCAAGTCTCTGATCCGTATAGTAGCACTGACTGACTTCACATTGGAGTTGAAAATCCGGATCTTATTTTTGATGCTGAGTGATGTTGACCTCCACACAGATTTGAGAGTAATGAAAGTTTGTCTTGCTTTTCCGATTCTGGCTTTGATATCCTCGTCAGTTCCGCCTCTAGTTGAAACAATACTTCCCAGGTAGGTATAGAAGGTTGTTTCTTTCAGGTTCCTCCCATTTATGCTGGCTGATTGTTGTCTGTTGTTGTTGTTGTTACTGTTGGTGTTAGCCAGGAATCTTCATCACCTCTGTTTTCTCTATGTTCACTTGAAGTCCTATCTTCTCTGGATGCTTCTTCTGCCAAGTTGTTGCTTTTCACTTGCATATCTTCCAGTTTTTTTGGAAATCAGACATGTATAGTTATAAATAATTAGTGAAAATAACATACTTGAATGTTTGAATAGTAGTAAAGAAAAAGCATCCGAAATTTAAGCAATGCAATTTTTGGTTTAATTTGCCACCATTTTATAAGCTTTTAAAATAGAAAAGGAGGTGAGAGGAGAAGACAGAAAAGCCTAATAAACAAACAGTTTTAGCTTGTAATTTCACATTAGCAACTCAAGATGGTTATAGAGCTCAAGGATTGAAAACTTGCTCAGTGAGTTGAAATCACTCATGTGGATGAGTAATCAATGTAATCAAAATGTAGTTACCAAAGGAGTGAGCGAGAGATTAATTACACTCTCTTTCTGTATATGCATAAGTTTGGTTTAAATGCTTGACTGCAGCTGCTTCGGCGAATCGTAGTAAATTTGCTGTCCTTTGTATGCCTAATATTTTGAAAGATTTAGAAATCTTGACGGATTGATCGGTATGCACAATGCACACAAGTTTCTTGGGATATGCTGTGAAAACCAGGTAGAAGGACTTCTTTCTATTCTTCTAAGGTACTTGCTCTCGCAAGTGGACGTAAATTTATAAACGCAATTAAAGATGACATCAGCGAAGCACCTATGCATTTTAGATTGGCTTATATAGAGTATTTGGTATAGTTGCTGAGATCCTGTGAAATAGATTGGTATCATTTTATACTGAGAATCTGGTCATTCTTTCTTTCTTTATTGAAACTTATGAAGGGAACCAAATATATAAAATGATGTCAGTCAGTTCATAGTGTTATTTGAAACATAATTAAACTGTCTCTGCAAATCAAACAACACTTGAAAATTTGTGGACTGATCAATTACTAAGCAGCATAATGAAAGTGAATTGTTCAACATATTGTATGAGGGAAATAAACAAGTTGAGAGAAGGAATATATTGCTTTTCAGTTAAATCCTCTGAGGTGGCTTTGCAATTTATCAAGCCATTTTTGACTCAATGTTAGACTGCGCGCCAAGCATTTTGGAGGTCTGGATCTGATTCCCGGTGGCCAATGCACTCATATAAACCTAGCCTGGGTTACTAGTAGCTGATAGTAAGCTCAAAAAAGAAGGAAAGTTGGTTGGGGTGAGGGTAAGTCTAGTAAGTTTACACCATAAAGGAAACAACACGTCCACTGAAACTTCACAGCTCAAAGCTCTAGAACACAAACTAATAAAAATGTAAATAAAGAACCATATATATATATATATATATATACTGAACTGACAGAAAGATTGTAGATTATATTAATTTCGCAGGTAACTTATGTCTAATGGCACATAAATTCGAATACATACAGACAAAGACCAACAGATTAGCAGGAGAGGTAGTCAACGAATGAAGGACTTCAGGTGAATATACAGAAGACATAGGTGATGAAGATACCTAACCAACAACAAGAAGCACCAATCACAGTCAGCGGGATAAATTTGAAGGAAGTTGCCTCCTTCACTTATCAAGATAGGATGATTTCAACTACAGGCGCCATGAATCAGTATGCCAAGGCTAGCCGGTCAGGATCGGAAAAACAAGACAGAGCTTCATCACTATGAAATCAGTCTGAAGATCTCCTCCTACACTCAACACAAGGAATAATATTCGGTTTTCTAACACTGATGTCAAATCAGTAAGTGTATCTGCATAGTTCATAGTCTTGGAGCGTCACCAAAATCACTTGCATCTGCTATTGAAGACTTTCATCAACACCTGTCTTCGTTGTCTCGAAAGTGAATATAAGATGCCTAGTCAGCAAAGACAAGGAACAAGGAATTGTGACAATGAACCAAGCCAGAACCAATTACACGAGCAATAAATAAAGATGAGCGAATTGGAGATACGCTGAGCAGATCGTTGAATGACTTCACCCGCTAAGGCATCACTCAAGTGGAAACTTACTAGGAGAAGATGAGCTAGGCGTGGGTTCAAAGATGACATGGAGTTCGTGTGAAGTGGAAATGGAAGCTTGTAGATTGAAATCGAGGAGACAGCTTAAAAAGATTACAGTGATCAGAGTGAAATGACGGCATGCTGCCAAACTCAACGGAATAATATTAACGTGTATGTATGTTACCTTGAATAGTGCAGTCAACGCTTCTTCTAGATTATTCACAGTGATACACTTCAATCCTTTGATATAAACCTGATCATTAGATTCAGCTATTTGCAATAAATCCGGTGATTGTTTACGCACAGTTTTACTCGTTGAAATATCATTCAACAGATCAATAATTTGTTCATTGTATATTTCAAAATATGATAATCTGAAATAATCAGCAGAAAGGAAGGCATATATATATATATATTCACAGTTAATTAAAATAATGCAGTAAACAAGGAAAGAGTTCTCTATCTCAATAAACTTCCAAAGAATAATTAGCATGAACGAAGAACATTGTCTTCTATAACTTTTTTTTTCTCCATTAGATTCTGCATTATTTTGCTTACATAATAAATTAGAGAACTTAGAGAGCTTTGTGCTTGGGAACATCCACCAGTGTGCTTATATAAAGGTGTACCAGGAACGATATTAGACAACCTAGTTCAAACGATTCTATCATTTCTATTGGGTGGCAAACAATCTGTCAAACATCTCTAGGTATCGAGTGCTGCAAACAGCATAGGCCATAGCAATTTAATCAAAGCACTCAGATCTGTGTGTGAAAATGAAACAGATTAAGTCAATATTGTGACCTTGCCCACTTAAGAAACCTATATATAAATTCACACATTCTTTATTATTATCTCTCATAAGTTATGTGATATCCAACTTAGTGTTATATCGATGCATATTATGAGTTAAAAATGCTCAAGAACCGTCATGTAGAGATCTTAGTGACTCGGTTCTTATTTGTAGACATGCTTTAGCTCACATGTGCTAGATACTGAACATGAAGTTTATGTATTAGGTAGGCATTCAAAGTTATCTATGGTCTTCTCAAGGCTAATCTTAATTTTATCTCACGGTTACGTATTCTACATATAGCTGAAACCATTGAAATCCAAGTAAATATAAGCTGAGTCTATCCTTTGCTGAATATTGTTTCTAACTTTTAAAGTGTCTAGATGGGAATTTTCTCTATAATGAATTTACTATCAAACTGTACAATCGTACATACATAATTTTACCTGTTCCATTGAACCTAGGTATATTGGTTGTTCTAAGAAGGTTTCTTTCATTAAGTTTCAAGAACATTAGCCTAGATGGTCATGAAGACGTGGAAGCGGAAAAATCGGTTATTTAGTCGACAGTAGTCATCTTATCCACCCAACATCTCTTCCTCGAAAGTTATCACTCTCTAAAGTGAAAAACTAACCGTCAAAATCACTACATGTCTGACTCATCTGTAGTGCAAAAGTTTTGGCCATTGAAATAGAAAAGGCAGAGTCCTGTTTAATCTGTTCTTCTTTCAAAGGCCTAATCCATCCGTACTAAACTATTATAATCCCAACTTTCTACTTTGGCCTTATTTACTTCAAATTTTATTTGCACAATCTCCCTAATTATTTTGACTGGTATTATAATTGTTTGTACAATGAAGAATTTCCGGCGTTACCTCACATATCACACTTCATTTATTGGATTTGGTGTACCATTTATTCAATCCTCTCCAGTCAGAATTCAAACCCTTTAACTAAATAACATATTTGCCAGCTATTTCATAAATTATATTCCCTATTTTGCAGCTTGATGTTTAAATGTGATTATGTTCACAAATAATTTACATTAAAAAGATGGCTGCGAACTCCATTATGGATAAGATTTTATTTTCAACTGTGAACTCATCAAACACGTAAAAGTGACAGAAATAAACAGGAAGATTGGATAAGAAACATAAAAGAGAATAATCACTATGGTGAGGACTGACGTTTTATGATGGCCATGGTGTGAAGACGAATGGTGGACATATTTATGGCGGATAAATAGCATGGGGCTTGAACTATTGGATCTAGGGAAAATTGTGTACATATTACAGGATCAATGTGCTGAATTTCTAATGAGATATCGTGATATGACGGTCCACCATAGCAAGCTGAAGTGGTTGTTCATAAAAGGTATTGATTTTCGGCTGTAACAAAGCATCGCGAGTTGACAGAAGTTAGAACTGATTGGTCGTTGAATTGCAACACAACAGCTAAATAATCGACGGGCTATGTTGACAAATTGTACGTCCCTGGAATCATTACCCTGTGGAGTCATGAGTACACACTACAGAAAGATCCCATCTAAGAAGAGAAAACAACTGTTCATTGTGCACTTTATTTTTCAGCGGTTCCCTAACTAATATTGTCCATGTCCATAACACGATATATATATATATATATATATATATATATATATATATATATATATATATATATATATATATATATATACAGAATTAATCCAAATCCCCATTCAAAACCCAACCAAAAACATTTATATAACTATTTACTTACTTTACAGTAATTGAAAGAGTGGACCTGTTTTTAATTTCTTCAAATAAATGTGCAATCCCCCTGGGTATAATTCCACGATCATCATATAACTGGGATAATCCACTCATTGTATACGTTTTACCAGCTCCTGTTTGTCCATAACACATTATAGTTCCTATAAGGAAGTAGAATTTTATACATTTTAAATAATCTTCAGTGGGCATAGCAGAAAACAACTAATAGTGAATGAATAATTCGAATAAAACCTCATCTGGTTTACTAGTGCGTTCTAAGCCTGGAAAAATGAGCGAGGGCGGAGGAGTGAGTAAGATTAGCAACCCCATCTTGTGAAAAAAAACACAATTGTCACAGGAATTTCAAAGAACAGAAAGAATAAACTTTTCCCCTGCCTAAAAGTTAAGAAGACCTCTCAGTTTGAGGGTAGATAACACCCGCGGGTGATTGCCTTCTAGCGAGCCTGTCTTCTTTCAGTGAAAACAAACGCAAGTCTGGAGGGTCTAATTTCCACCCCATGTTTGAGGTCGGTTAGCAAGGCTGCTCAGATTGAGGAAGAAATGAGATGTAGCATAAGAATCTATAAGAGCAGACGGAAAGAAGTGAACTTGGCACCTAACCGAAAATACTTCCAACTGGATACTGCAGACTTACTCTGCCTTGATACTGAAGATCAGGTGACTATACAGAAATGAAAACCAACAAGGAACTACTGCGGCAGGGTATCAGCTAACAACCCATGATGAGACCAAAAAAGTATGCTGAATGAAATGGAGATCATTTAGACATAGAATGAGGAATCTTTCAAGTGACTTCCCCCGTGGGGCCTTCTAATGGAACACAAATGGGAAGTAGCAGATGTGATTCGGGTCTGAGTGTGACATGTTGGAGATAATATAAAGAGAGAATGAAAGTCAGTGAGGAGCAGTTATGAATTCGGTTCAAATTGATAGCCTGGAGGGGCGTGGAACAGGAATATATCACGTAGTCTCTGCGTCACATTCAGAAAATACTTATTTATTTATTTACAATATTCTTATTTAATCAGAACATATTCGTTACTTATCTGGCCGCAACCCATACCAATTCTTTGGCAGTTAGCAGTATGACTCAAAGTGTTTTCATTTCTTTACATAAGTTAAAAACTTGTGCACTGTGGTACAGTATAATCCCATTATGGACAAAATTTGTTTTGATAAAGTCTCATAGTGTTATACAGTAATGTTATAACCGTAGCGTTACTGTATAAGACTGTGAGACTTTATCAAAACAAATTTTACCCATAATGGGATTCATTTCTTTACATTCTGAGTAAATAATGGTCCTCCCACATTTCTGCTTTTTAGTTTCATTGGCCGTGATTGTGTTGTTTCGCTGGAATCATGTTCAACCTTTTCACTCCATTTTCCGACCTTAATACCAACCACATGAGACTTTTAGGGGTGTGTATTGGATAGCAAATTGAACTTCGGTCAACATTTGGCTGGCAGTCACTTTGCCAATGAACCACAACTCATTAACGCTGTCTGAATTAAGCGAAATAAGATTCCAACCCATTTGCTCATAAATTTATCTATCACACAAATAGAAATATTCTGTTACCATTTATTCCTGCTAATGCATCCGCTATTAAACGACTTGGTGTAATCTGATAAATTTCTTCTTGTGATGCATTATAGAAAATCTTTTCAAATTTATAATCCACTGTCTGCAGCTGATTATTAGTTGTACATAAAGGTGTTCCCAGGAGATCATTTTCAATCTGGACGACACTCTGCCTTAAAGCGAAAAAGACGGAAAAAGAGGCAATGAATAATATATATGCATATATAAATGACCTGATGCGGCTGACGTTTGGTAGACTCCACTTTTTCAGTCAAAACGAGGTCGTGCATTTACAACATGTCATATAAGTCATTTTTATTTCAGCAAAAGCGGAAGGCCGAATGCGATTGTTAGATGCTCATAACGGTACTGGTAAATACCTGGGTCCATTAAGGATGAGTTAGAAGACCTTGTTTCCAAAACTAAGGTGCACACAGGCTGCGGAACTCGGAAGGATCAAAAAGCCTATGAACTGTTTTCTGATCACTCGCAGCCATCATGGGGACACAGCTTCTAAGGCTTCTCTTCTGCATTGTAGATAAGAATTTAAGTCATAGATTTAGCAAGTGGTCCGTTAAGATAACCACTCACTTTGAAATAGACGTTGTAGAAGTATCTAAGCCCTCACGCAAATCATGGAATCATAAATAATCGTTGTTTTGTTATTTCTGTGTGGTAGTAGTAGTAATGTGGCGTGTGCTACCGCCAAGAATTTGCAAGTAATATGTTATATTATTCTGCAACAGTCCTGAATAGAGGAGAAGGTTTCAGTTACAAAGAGGGCAAATGAAGACTATTCATTAAGGAGAAATACATTGAAAGCATAAAGTATGGAGACAAAAAATGAAGGAGAATACAGATAACTTTTGCAGATTGAATTTTTAGTGTCAGACTTTAATATTTTGTCGATGAAATAATAATACCAATTCAGACTAATATTCAGTGTTTGTTTAAGGAGATATGATTGACTTCAGTTTAGATCACAAAAAAGAAATCAGGTGAAGATGCACTGAAAACCAGAAAGATTGACATATCTTACTGATGGGAGACTGCTGAAACCAGAATGAACAATTTAAGCTATTGGCTGATGGCTCTTATTTTGAGATAATATGAAGTTCAGTGATGCACGTTCATCGCTTATTTTCACTTGTGCGGAACAATATGATAGTATACTACACTTTGTTGACGTTCAGTTGGGCAGGAGAGATGTTTCCCCATAGGCTAG